ATTTTCATAGAATTTTCAAATACTTCCTTTTTTAACTATTTTTTTTATAACCTTTCAAAAAAATATAATTTCCGAAAAAAAATTACACATTTTTTTACAACATATTAAAATATTTTTACAAGTCTTTTAAATTTTTTTAAATCATTTTAAAACCTTTTTACAACCTAATAATATTGAAAAAGAAAACGTAAAAAAAAACTATTGAAAAACTTGAAATGCAAGTAAACTTAATTTCGTTTTAAAGGTTTTGAAAAAAAGTTTAAAAGGTATGAAAAAGTTTTTTTACATCTTGTATTTCTATGTTTCAAACATTTTAAACTTATTTATTTATATATTTGAACATTCTTAGGGAGTAAAAAAGTTTAAAAATATTATAAATTTGTTTTATAAGGTTACTAAACATTAAAAGTTACTATAAACAAATTACTTAAAATAAATTGAAAAAGTGTTAAAAATGTTTAAAATTGTTGAATAAAAAGTTTTTAAAAAAGAGTATTAAAAAAGTTGTAGTAATTTTCTATAAGAAACTTGTGAAATGATTTGTAAAAAAGTTTATAAGATCAGCTTAGAAAAACTCTTTTAAAAATTGTTTAAAAAAAAGAGTAAAGTTTGGGAAGAATTTACCAAAAAGAGAAAAAAGACAAAATTAGTAACAAAATATAAATTTTGGGCCAACATTGTAAATATGTAAATGATTGAAAATTGTGTAAGAACATGAAAAACCACATAAACCGTAATTTCGTTTTTTTTTCCGCGATAAATTTGTTTTGTTGGCAACTTGAAAATGGTTTGAATAGTTTGCTTCATAAAATTAATGATAATAAATACATTCCAATTTAGGGTATGTTGCTCACAATGTAATTTGTATTTGTGTTCTTTAAGCTAAACACGAATATTCTTAGACCTATTAAACAAGATAATAACCAAAATGCAACAACGATCGTTTGGCAAATCTATTTAAACCATACAAATCAAAAGCTATCACATCGTTTTTTATCGGATTCTAGAACTATTCATTACATTTCGGACATCATTTTTTGACTATCTGACTAAAATCGTGGAACTAAAGACCGTAAAACCAACCTCACTTACCTTAAACTAATAATTGTCTTTTGGGCACCCATGACATAGAGAAGGACCACATGACGGACCACAAACGGTCGGATCCAAAATAAGCCGTTTCAAATTCATTGGTTAATTTTATAAAAGAGTAAATTACTGAAATGGTCCCTATGGTTTGGTTAAAATTACACGTTTGATCACTAATTTTTTTTTTTTGCACTCGGATCGTCCTTGTGGTTTGATTTTGTTGCGTTTTTCGTCCCTTACATACATAAAGTTATGGACCAAACGTGTAAATTTAACCAAACAATAGGAACGAAAAACGCAACAAAATCAAACCACAGAGACGATCCGAATGGGAAAAAAAATTATGAACCAAACGTGTAATTTTGATCAAACTATAGGGACGATTTTAATAACTTACTCTTTATAAAAATGTAAATTCTTTTGCAATTTTGTTATATATTAAACAATTATTTTGAATATATCCCTTAAAAACAAAACGATGGTAGTTAATTGATTATATATGCACTAACTTGCCAACCAATTTCTATTCGTGGATCCACATCAGCATGTCATGGATTCCTCTTGTGAAATAACAATTTTAGAAAAGTCGGATAAGGCGTTTGTCATCCCTCTACGAACGCCAGCCTTCTGGCTCTGACTATATGCCAATTATTTAATATGTCACCCTTCTATTATTATTGCAAGATGTACTATTCTGTTACACGTCATTCCAGTCATATATGTTTTTCATTTTTAAACTTACAAATATCTAACAAATATATATTTTTATGATTTGACCAATAAATGACTTTAAGATAGTGGCGCATTCAGGGCTTTTTCATAAGAATCAATAGGAAAAAATGGTGCATTAAGGGCTTTTTCATAAGAAACAGCATGAAAAGATAAAACATCCATGTAAACTCGCTCTTTTAGGCAGCAGGAGAAAGAAAAGATTTTGGGATTCAAATCTCGAAAAAAAGCTTTCATTTAACGCTTCCGTTTCAAGTGTTTATCTATTTTGTTATAAAATCCTTCTTAATAAATAAAGAACTTTTTGTTACATGTTTCATTCTTTTTCATTTGGATACATATCATTTTCTAGAATTTTTGAATTTTATATTTTCCACTTGTTATTTTATTAAAATTTTCATTTTATTAAATTAAAATTTCACATTTAATATGTATGGTAATATATATGTAAATGTATTTTTTAGAAAATGTTTATATATATATATATATATATATATATATATATATATATATATATATATATACATTAAAGCCTCATTAATTATAATAATTCAAATTTTTTTCTCATTTTTTTTATAAGTTTAAACTTTTCAAATTATTAAAATTTCATATTTAATTTTTTTTTAATAAACTCATGTAATACATGAGTTTCACACCTAATATATCAATTTAAAAAACGTGTGACATTTTTTGAATTGTAATGTCTGATTGAGATTATTTTTCAACTTTATATTTTTTTCAACTTTAGATATAACATATTATACATTATGCCTATGTTTTAAATAGAAAAAACGCAAAAGTTTGTTTATTAGGCAATGAAAGGAGTGGAAGTGAATTTCCCAAAATTTGTGGTTGTGTTGGTGGCATTGCGTCTTTCATTGGTATTTAATATTTGGACTCGGTTTTGGAGTCGTGGCAACACATCATCAATCATCATGTCTACGGTAACCCTTATCCTCACCTTTAGTTGCACGTCAGCCCCTAAACTTCAATTCAACTCCTCTACGCACCCTCCAAAACATCAATAGTTCTTAGGAATATTTTTAGCGAAAGCTTATTTTTAATTTATTATTGACTTATTATTATTATTGTTACATCAAAGTTGATGCGTATTTTTTTTTCCTTTTACATATCAGCCAAATATTATTTATCTATTATAGGATAATTTTCTACCTTTCATCTTAATAACATGTATATTTTATCCTTCAATGATGTTGTGTATTAGATTTTTTTTTTCCACTAGTTAATATGATTTATTAAATTCTAATTTATTAAATATGACAATGAAAATAATATTTTATTTTTGTAACTATATAATTGATAAATAACACCGATATGAAAAATATAATGGATGTTTAAGAAAAACATTTGGAATAAAACATTTCAGATAAATTTAGATAAAAATTTAATTATTAAAAGAATTAAATAATGAAAGTGATTTGTACAAAATTCTTTTTGACCATACATAATAATTTGTGTGTTACAAGGTTGGTATAGCTAAAAAATATTATGTACAAATCATCATCCTTTAAACAAAAATTATGCAGCAAGAAGATCGTAAATAATTTTTTTTATTGATTTAATATAAGAAATAAACTTTATATAGTCAATTATTATGGATTATGTAAGAATAAACTACAATAATTAAAAAAAAATACTAATATGTCATGGTAGCATATTCCCTACATGGTAAGAAATTAATGTGTTGTGATAAAAATAAATGGTGTTTATATGTCAATTTTTTTTGATAAGAATGATATCAGTTCCTCCATCCTAATAAAAAGAGTTGTAAAAGCATTGGTGGAATGTGATTATGTTATTCGAAGATAGTTGAGTAGTAATTATTCAACAAATTTAATAATTTAATAAAAAGAGATAAAATCAAAAATCTGAATAACGTAAGGTGTGGTTTTGACGGCAATGTCAAAGCTAAATCAAGGCAAGCTATGACGTATTTCAAAGCGTGACTATTTTATATACGTTAAAAAAGATAAATTATATAACTATTGGATTTTATCAAATATATCAAGTTTTTAGAAGTGTTATATTAATATTTAATATAAAAAATTAAACGAAACCTCAATTATTTTAGACCTGATCTGGAAAAAAACAAAAAAATAAAAAACTTGTGCCTTGAAAAAAAAAACCTCGCATAATAGCGCAATAAGGCGCACACTGACACATTATTTGTGCGTCAAGTTTAACAAACTTGTTTTTTACGTTTTTGTAGTGGTTATACCACGCCTCATGTCATGACATGTCTTAAACCATGGATAAAATTACTAAATGGTATCTTTGAAGAAAATGAGATATTGTGTCATTGATCCCAAACTAGGTTGGTTGAAAGTGCAATAGATAGTTCTTAGTTTAATCTTAATCTTCATGTTTAGTAAAATTTGCTTATAGCTAAAAGTTACAAGCTGATAGCTTGTATTTGATAGCTAAAAACTGAAAATTGTGATTTTTATTCGTGTACAAATGTTGGGCAGAAAAATTGTTAACTTTTTAAATGTATAAAGTTATAATAAAAAACTAAAAGTAAAAAGATCTGAAAAACTAAAAATTCTTAAAACCTAATTGGAATAAGTTCTGAATTAATTGTTTCTTTAAACAAAAGTTAAACAATTCAGCGGTATCAAGTGATATTCTTTCTCTTTGAGGTCAAGAGTTTAAGTTCCGTTATGGATATAAATGAAATTATGTGTTAGCTTAAGAGTATAATATATTTGACGGTTAACAAAAAAAAAATTGCATATGTTAATTTAATTATTACAATTTGCTAAGCGTTGGGATATAAGTTAAGAAATATGTGTAGTACTACTAAATAATCAGTTTAGTAAAACGTGTTCCTTAAACTTTGTTGAAATCTTTAAACTATTGGATAAATTTTATCGTATTTTATTGTCATATTTGAATTTAAAATGTGATCAATAGTTTATTAAACGATTATAAATTATTGACAACATAAATTTATCTAGAAGAAATTAAAGTTCTCTCTCGTATTATGTGTCAAAACGCGTGGTCAAACCTCACCTTAATTGATCGGTGTGGGTTTATTCTCATTTTTTTTTCTAAAAAAAATTGCAAATTGCAATAAAGCGTAATTTTAGAAGAGCGATTTATTTGGGTCAAACGACATATTTCCTTAAATAAATCAAATCTCAAGTATAAAGACAAAGATGGGGAGATTGGTTTGAGTAGGGCGAACGAATATTCCAATTGAAGATCCCACCTCTCTGTCACGGTAACGGTGACGGTGACGGTGTCGGGAATCAGATCGTGATCTTCAACTCCATTGTTTAAATACCCTTTTACAAACTCCTTTCTTCCTCATCAACTCTATACATTAACCCCCCATTCATTCTCCTCCCTCCTTTTCCTTTAATCTCCCTTACAATGGCTTGCAAGACGGCGGTGCAGTTCTCCGACGTGCCACTTCTCGATCAGGTCAATGACAACGCCGCCTCGTTGTCCCTTTACGCCACCCGTCTCCCCACCGGTACGGGTTTCGTTTCTTTTTCTGTTTCTGTTACGTGTTCTTCAGCTATTTTTTTGTGAATCTGTGATTGAATTTGTTGATGGAATATCAGGATTGGATGTGAGTAATAACCGGAAAAGTTTGCCGAAATTCATGGTGGTTGGTCATAGAGGTCATGGCATGAACGTCTTGCTTTCGACTGATAAGAGAATGAATGCTTTTAAAGAGAATTCGATTCTTTCGTTCAATAACGCTGCAAATCATCCTCTTGATTTCATCGAATTCGACGTTCAGGTATTTACTTTAATTTCATCACTTTCATTCCAAAAACAAAAAAAAAAAAAAAAAAAAATGATTGGAAATTCGAAAGGTGTCTGATCAACCCTGAATTTAAAATGGATTACGAGATCCGATTATGTTTTTCGTTTCTGATCAGTCTACCTTTTCTTTGTTTCCTTTCTCGCTGCTTGAATTCTACTTTTATGGCACAATCTAGAAACCAAAATGCATATTCTTGGAAATAAAAACAAGAGCTGGAAAGTGAAAACGAGAAATGTTATCGTTTTTGCAGGTGACAAAAGACGACATACCAATCATTTTCCACGACAATTTCATCCTCTCTGAAGAGAATGTAAGTCGCCTTTGAACACATTCGATACACACATCATGAATAGTAACAAATATCTATCGAGAATTCACGTATTTGATTATATCTTTTCAGGGTATCGTAGTTGAGAAGAGGGTCACTGATTTGACAGTTGATGAGTTCTTTAGCTATGGTCCTCAAAGAATTGCAGGTGTCGTGGGTAAAACTTTGCTTAGAGAATCCCATGGACAGATAGTCGGGTGGAATGTTGAAACCGATGATCATTCTTGCACTTTACAAGAAGCTTTCGAAAAAGTAAACCCATGTTTGGGATTCAACATTGAGTTGAAATTCGATGATTACATTGTCTATGAAAAAGAGTATCTCATCAAAATTCTTCAAGTCATCATGAAGGTGGTATACGAATACGCGCAAGAAAGACCTGTAATGTTCTCAAGCTTCCAACCCGATGTGGCCTTGATCATGAAGAAACTTCAAACTAAATACCCAGTTAGTATTCTTTAATATCTCATCTCTTTTCGACTTCCATTATGAACACTGCTAATCAATTCAAAAAAATCCCTTTAGGTTTACTTCTTGACAAACGGAGGAACCGAGATATTCGATGATGTTCGAATGAATTCGTTGGAAGAAGCCAAGAAGCTTGCAATCAATGGTGGATTGGATGGAATCGTTTCCGAAGTAAAGGGTATTTTCAGAAATCCTTCGGTCGTAAGAGAAATCAAAGAATCAAATCTTTCTCTCTTGACTTACGGAAAATTGAAGTAAGTTTGTCAAATCGTTTCCATTTATCAATTTTGAAATTGAATACACGATGTGTTGCTATTTGCTAATGAAATCGATTTGATGTAAAACAGTAATGTTCCTGAAGCTGTTCATGTTCAATATCTAATGGGCGTTGAGGGTGTGATTGTCGATTTAGTTCAAGAAATCACAACTTCGGTTGCAAATATAAAGGCGACAAAAGCATACAGCGAGAGCGAAAAGAAGAAGAAGCTGCTAATCGAAGGGGAGGAAGGCGAATTACAGGTGACGGAGATCACCGACAAGATTGAATTGGCATTCTTATTAAACTTGATTTCACAAGTGATTCAACATTGAGATTTGAAAGACAATTTGACAGTATGTAGATTTGGGTCGGGTTAATTGGGTAGTCCATTTATAATTTTAGCTTTTGCCCTAGTCTTTATTTTTTTCTTTGTTTTTTTGTTGATAATCTTTAATGGATAAGGGGCAAGGCTATAATAGGGAATTGAGTTTTTATGATGGCGATGGTGTTGGGTTCATGTATGATTCTCTTGGATCTTCAATTGGGGGTTCGGGAGGATACCACCACGATCATTAAAAATATGGGTCGGGTCGTTCACACAAATTGTGTCCCTAAAAAGAAATTCAAGATTATGTACACTGATTATTAATATCAATGCTTGAATTGCACATTATTTGACTATCTGAATTTTTTTTATTGTTTTGATTTATGTATTACTTCTAGAATAAGTGTGATTGCGATGTTACATGTGGAATGATTTCTCAAACAAATGAGTTGAGATCCAATAGGGGTTTGGATAAAGATATAGAATCATAGAGATGGATTATGTGAATGTCCAATTATGAGGGAAAAGAATTTGATTAATAATTATCATTGACGATTGGGTCCAAGGTGTAATAGCCTTCTTTTCGATATATAAATAATTCAATAAGTTTCATCGTTTGTAGAAGATAAATCAGAAAACTTATACAACCAAACAAATACATTGGCAACTAGTCTAAAAGCAAAGAAAAATAAGTACTACGCACACTATTAAGTTTCTTGTAGGGTTTCATCTTCAAACTTTGTCCTTTCCTTTGTTGCTACTGTTAATGACGAGGTCTTTTGGAGTTGTCTTTCCTTTGTTGCTACTGTTAATGACGAGGTCTTTTGGAGTTGTTTATATTTAAAAAAAAGAAAAAAAAAATAGATAGAGGGATCAGTCTAGGATCTAATGAATCATAGTTTATGCATAATGAAAAAAACATGAAGTCCACAAATTATTTCAAGTCAATCAGCATTCCCAATTAATATTTTTCGGCTTGGTTAACGAAACTTAATGGTTGTGGAATTAAGATGAGCCAACACTTAATCATTTTAATTGCTTCTGTTAGGGTTTCCAATAATGCATCATTTTAATAGTTTTATTAGGGTTTACATTTTACAATAATACATGCTAGACTTTTTCAACTAAGTTTCAATATTGTATAACAATACATTTCAATTTATTTTCTAGCAAAAAGTCATATTTCAACACAACCCACCCAATAATTATGTTAATCACCTAACATATACAAAATACATCAAATATTTATTATGCAATTTAAAAGTTCATAACATATGATCTAGATCAGCATTGCATAAATTATAATCTAACATGTTTCAAAATACAACAAAATAGGGTAACAACCTATTTTGAAACTCGTATGAACTCGCCTTAGTAAGACAACTCTAGCATCTAGATTTCTTCTACGTGAAACTCCTTAACACGTTGAATTCTCTCAAACAACTGTTTTTGTTGATGATGCACTCACATCTTACTCTCAAATTTCTTTTTATTGTCATTTTTCGTTAATGAGTAAAGTGATAATAAAGATACGGGAGTCTCTACTTATAGTTGGGGAAATGTGAATGAGTTGGAAGAATGGGGGTTATAGGAACTCTCTCCCTATGCCATGTAACCTCGTAATTGCCATCTTATCTCAAAACTTCAAATTAAAATTCTCGTTTTTACAAAGTCTTCACAACTTCATCCATTAACAAAATTTTGTTTTCATAACTTACAATCACGTAAATAAATGAGGGTGCTTAGATTATATTTCTAGCTCGGACACCCATGTAACCTAGGATTATGCATGATATTTCCAATTTATCTTTACCGGATGTATATATGTCTGTTTTATTTGGATGGTCTTTCGATCTACGATCATAATTGGTTATAAAAAATTGCCAATTTGAAGTACTTAGAAAGGGATTAAACAATTACCTCATCAAAACTATAGTTCAAGTAACCACATAGTCCTATCTAATGTATTTTCACATAGTTAGTGTTTAGAAAAAATTACCCATTTGAAGTATTTAGAGGGGTTAAAGAATCACCACATCAAAACTATAGTTCAAGCAATCATACTAAATTCCAAGTCATCTTCTAAGTATTTATTTGACTATCACCTAAATACATGTCAAAATATAGGTTTGTCATTAGGAATACCCAATAAGTAATTCCTAAATATCACATTTTTGAAGTCAAAATGAATTGGTATAATCCTTTGACTTATGAGAAATCATCAAAATCATTTGAAAACATTTGTTGAAATATGAAAACATTCTCTTTCAAAACCATTAAGTCTTTAGTCTTAGAATCGTAAGTCTTTATTCTTGAAATCGTAAGCCTTTAACTCTTTACTTATATGCTTAGAATAATCTTTACTCATTGAAAATTCATATATCTTTACTCATTGATAAACCACAAGTCGTTACAAATAAAATTCATATGTCATTACTCGTTATTAACTCATAATCAAAATATCATTATTATAGTCACAATTAAATATCATCATTAAAATCTTAATCAAGCATCTTCATTAGATTCATAATCAAGATATCATCATTAGAGTCATAATCAAAATATCGTCATTATGGTCATAATCAATATATCATCATAATCAAAATATCATCATTAGAGTCATAATTAAGATATCGTCATTAGATTCATAAAATGAGTATATGTAACGGAATATTCTTCTAACCCTTCTTTAAGTCAATCTTGCATGTCCAAACTCATACGTCATAAACGGAGAAGTGTTTCACATCTTCACCGTGCGAGAGTATCCATATAAAGTAGCACTTCCTAGGTAAATATTATAGTGGAACCCCGAAACCATAGTGATATGGCCTTATTTGACTATATATTTTAGGTCATTTTCTTATTATATTTGATTAAAATGTTGTAACACCCATTCCTTGTAGGTATATTTATTTCCTTTATTGTAAAGTTTGAAGTATGGTGAAGATTGTTCATATGCGGGGCGTGGGGTATTCTCCTACGCAGCGTGTATGAGGGTATATGGATGTGGGACTTAAATGATCTACGCAGTGCATATCTTCCATAACTAAAACCCTAATTTTGGGGTTTTGATACCTATTGTAACGATCCAATTTTCAAGGCCAAAAATTTTATTTTTGAATTAACGTATTTAACAAACATTTTACCAAAACATTGTTAATAAAACATACATTACAAAATCATAATGTTGTATTTCAAACCATAACTTCATAAGTATTGAAAATCAGAGTACAGTCCCAAACAAAACTTCTTGCGGAAACATGTGTGTGCGTGATGCACTGTTACACCGCAGACTCTTTCCCCTTCGACGAAGAGGTACCTGAAACCAAAACCAAAACTGTAAGCACGGAGCTTAGCGAGTTCCCCCATCATACCAACTACCATACAATATCGTCGGTATCTTTCAACTGACAACCTTCATTGGTATCTTTCAACCGGTATCTGTCATCGGTATCTTTTAACCGGTAATCAACATCGGTATCTTTCAACCGGTAACTGGTTACTATTTCACCCCCTACTACTAGCATACAATCAACAGATATAAGCATACAGTCAGGCATATCCGGGTACTGACCTACCCTTGGGTCCTAAGGACCACTGTCAGGGAAACTAATCCCTACCATACACATAACATACTACCCAGATAAACCTCATAACCAACACATAACCAGACCAAGATAATTATCACACAGACCATTATCTTCTAAATACCCCCTTTTGGTGGGCCGGCATTGTGGCCTTAGACCCACCCCTACTGGAAGGTAACTCACCTCAATATCATGCAGTGTCTGAGCTATCCTCAGCGCACAAGTCGACTCCCTACGACTCCTCACTCCTACACGACAACCTTCAAGTCAACACACATCACATAAAACCCTAAACATGGTCGGTCCAAGTTCAGTCAAAGTCAACATTCAGTTGACCTGACTTGCCGAGTTGGCCTACCAACTCGTCGAGTCCATGCTTCTCTAATCCCACACAAAACCCCGGCTCCACTCGTTGAGTCTAGAAAAAACTCAACGGGTTCTCCTTTAATCATAACATCGGGACCACCTTCATCCGATTCACCGAGTTCCTTCTTAAACTCTTCGAGTTCATCTCTAACTTAAGAACTTGTCCATTCTATGACTCGTCGAGTTGTATGAACAACTCGTCGAGTCCATCTTCAAATATTGGGAGATTGCTATGGACTCGTTGAGTCTGCTCATACCACTCACCGAGTCTCATGGATTCCAGGTCCCTTTTTGCATCTAAACCCACAAGGGACTTCCTTCCTAACACTTACCCATTCACCGAAAGGGTTTGGTGCACAATGGTCACCGACTCATCGAGTACCAAGAACAACTTGTCGAGTCCAACCTTGACCAATTCCATACAGTGGATTTAAATGAGGTCTAACACACCAAAACCATAGATTTGGCCTCCTAATGTTCATTTTATACGTAAAGTTCCAAACTTGATGCACATGCATGGGGTTTTTAGCTCAAGAATCCATATAAAGTGTCCTACAATGTGCATAGGGCTCTCATGGCCCTAAATTTGGCACCTTTATTCCATGAGACCCCTCTTAAGGCCCAGATCTGAAGTTAATACTCACTCAACACTTCCAAATCCGAAAAATGACTTAGAAATCCATGGAGATCCCATGCTAAAGATGAATAAACACATAGATGAGTCAAGACAGGGGCATTATACCTTGAAGCTGCTGAAAATGAAGTAAGATCTCCGGATCTACAAGCCCCAACTTGATTTCCAAGCTCCTTTCTTCCTTCCAAGCTTTACAATCCGCACAAGAACACCAAAAATGGCCTTAACTCAGACACAAACAACTAGGGTTCGATATGAAGCTTTCAAGAGAGTGTTAGGGACAAGGGAGGCTGAGTTAAGTTGTTTATATAGGGTGCAAACCCTCATATTTAGGATTTCACTTAACCAGCACCTACTCGCCGAGCCAGTCTCCCGACTCATCGAGTCGGTCGTTTAAAATGTCCGCAGCCACATCCCTACTCGACGAGTTGATCCTCCAATTCGTCGAGTCCCAGAGAAAAATACATATACTGAAGAAAACATACCAGGTGTTACAAATCTCCCCCACTTATTTTAGACTTCATCCTCGAAGTCTGCCGCTCGATCCTGAAAAAGCTCTGGGTAATGCTCCCTCATCTCGTCCTCCGGCTCCCAGGTCTATTCCGAGCCCTTTTGATGATGCCACTAAACCTTTACCAGATCCACCCTCTTGTTCCGCAGATCCTTTGACTTTCTGTCAAGAATCTCCACCGGTCTCTCGATGTAGTTCAGGCTGTCGTCAACCTGAATATCCTCCAAGGGTACCACCTCTGATTCGTCCACCAAACATTTCCGTAACTGGGAGATGTGAAAAGTGCTATGAATCTGACTGAGTTCGGCTGGCAGATCCAGCCTATACGAAACCTTGCCCACCCGGGCTATAACCCTGAAAGGTCTGATATACCTGGGGCCCAGCTTGCCCCGCTTCCTGAATCAGATGACACCCTTCCAAGGT